AAAAAAAAAAATTAAATTATTATCAATTTGTGTGTATGTCAGTGATGTGTGTGGGTGTGTGTGCCACAGTGCATGTGTAGAGGTCAGAGGACAACCCTGTGGAGTCAGCTCTCTCTTTCCACTTCATATAGGCCCCGAGAACTCACTCAGGTCTCCCAGCTTATGCTGCAAGTACCTTTACCACTGGGCCATCGCTTCAGGCCATCTTTCCCCCCTTCAAATCTAGATTTTGCATGAAAGAAAACACGAATTTTGTCTTTGTGATACGGTTTATTTTCCTTAACACGACGAATTCTAGTTCTTTCAATTTTCTTGAAAATGACAGCATTTCATTCTTGATGGCTGAGCAAAACATCTTCCTTCTCCATTCACTGGTCGCTGGGTTTCGTGTCTGGTCCTAGAACTCCGCTGTTGTGAATACTGCTGTGATAAACATGGGTGGGCAGGGAAGGAAAAGGATATTTTTAGGACTCAAAATTAAACACTTCTAGATAAGCTTAGTACATTGGTTTCAATTTTTATGAGAGAGAGAAAACACGCTGTGTGGGTTCAGGCACATGATCTCCAGGCTGTTTCAGACACTGTCCACACATTCACCTCTAAGGTCCAGGACAGGCGTGTTCTGTAGACAGCCAAGACAATAAATAGGCAAACAAACATGTCTTGCAGATCTGCCCACACTCTGCTCCTCCAGACCCTGGGCCGTGAGGGCCTCCTGGTTGCTAGGTCTTCACCCTGTCCGTGATTCTATAAATAGCCACAGTACACCCCTGGGATGGCACCATCTGCTTTCTGCCAGGCCCCAGTGACCCAGATGGCTGGTATGTCAATTCTCATCCAACCAGACAACAAACTACCTACTATCCATCCCCATAGGGTCTCTTCAGTCACTGCTGGTCACTGCCATCATGGGTGGGGTGACTGGTACAGGCTCTGTGCTGTGTCCCCCTTGAGGATCTCTGAGGGTGTACTGCCACGGTGAGGAGGCCCCCTCTTGGGTTTGTCCAAGTTGTTGTATTACCAGTAAAGACCCAGGAGTCAGATACTGGGGTGAAAACCGTGGATGGAAGAAGTGGTGGAGGAGCAGCCAGCTTCCCCCCGTTTGCTGGAGACCCAGCAAGTGCATCCCTCCACACGCCCCAGACCAAAAAAGGCCGTGAAGCTCTAAGCCCCTCCCTATTCCTTCCTGTGCGTCTCTCTATCTCCCTGGGTCCTCCGTCCTCTCTATGTCTAATTCTTGTCAACTGGTTGCTGGCTCCACCCCCAATCCCAGGCTAATTTTATTAAGACAGTCTTGGAGTTTTACGGTGCAATCAAATATCCCACAACAGCACCCTCTAAGGCTGTGGGAGTGAATGTGCCCTTTCCCTTCTAGGTGTGCAAGAGCCCATGGGTGTATTTCTCTAGACATAGTGCCTGCTCTGTGAGGGGAGCCAGCAAGTCACCCTTCCTGTATCTGAAGACCCCTTCTAGCCTCTAAGTCACACAGCATTTCCACAAGGTCTTGGACACCCTCCTGTTCTTCTGTGGGGAAAAGATTCTTGCTGAGCTCGACTCTTTCCCTTCCCTGGGGCCAGTACTCCCCCAGGGATCTTGCCATCTCTTCAGGGTGATGCTCATGAGGTCCAAACTGGCATCTCCTATGGCATCAGCTCCCTGCCAACACAGAGTCATCTTCCATTGAAGCAGGACTGCATCACCTTCTTGGGGAGCTCTGGGGATACCATGGGACTTTCAGGGACTGTCCTTCCTGGGGACAGGTGCTGTCCTCTCCATCTTAGAAGGTCAAGTTGGATGGTGATTGACACCCTTCGATGAACAATTTGAATCATCTGGGGGCCTTTAGACCCAGGAAATGAGTCTCTGCGTGAGACCTCTTTCCTAATGCAGACCTCTTAAATCCAATGCCCTTCAGGACCCTTCCTATCCTCTTCAGTTTGTGGTCCAAGAAAGAATGTTGCCATCAGGTGACGGCAAGATAACAGTGCTTGGGTCTGGCCTCCGGCTCATATGTATGTGCGTGACAGAAGGGTCAGTGCACTTGTCTTTGGTTTATATCCCTCATAACCGTTTAATTAAACATATCAACTTAATAATACCTGACACATTGATGCTAGTGCCGTAAGGGCCACTTGTAAAAGCAGCAAATCAATATGGCGCCAGGCAGCCTCTCCCCCATTAATGTTCTAGTGATTAATCGCCTTTGTGGCGGCTACGGTATCTTTTGTGTTTAGATGTCAGCTGTTAGGCATTTGGTTGTGGAAGTGTCCTGTCTTCCTCACGTCAAATCTATGATTATTCCTTAAACGTCAGCTTTGCCCTGCATAGGCAGTGGAGGCTGAGTCGGACCATATCTGCTCACATGTATTTTTAGCTTTGTGAAACAGAAATAAAAAGTGTGAGCACCATTTATTTATCCCCACATGTATTTCACTGCCTGCCTAGAGTTATATTCCCAGGGGATTCCTTACAGGACCCAGCTGCAAAATGCAACAGTGGCAGCAGCTGGCCACAGCTGGAAACTGACATAGCAATGAGAATACAGGGCTGAGGTGTTTCAGGGCCTGGAGTCTGGAGTTTGGAGTCCCGGCTTTGTACTCTGGTCCATCGCTTGCTGGCCCTGTGGTCTTGGATGAGTTACAGAAAGTTCAGGGCCTCGGTTTGTTTCTAAAGTGGGGCTTCTTGGAGGTTGTTATGGGATGAAAAAGAGGGTGAGTGCCTTCCCGTGGTAAAACCACCGCACAAAGGGAAGAGACAGCCTCAGACAGACAAAAGACAGCATATTAGATACCTTTCTGTGGCTGTGGCAAAATACCACAACCAATGCAACTTGTAGAAGAAAGAGTTAATTTGGGTTTATAATTCCACAGGCATAAGAGTCCATGATGGCAAGGAGGCCTGGCAGCGAGTGATAGCCATGGCCGCTAGAGCAGAAGCTGAGGGCTTCACTTGAAACCACAGGCAGGAAGCAGAGAATAAACCCCAACCTCTGCCCCCAAGGGAGATGCTTCCTCCAGCAAGGCCACACCTCCTAAACCTACCTGTCTTAGTCAGGGCTACTATTCCTGCGATGAAACTCCATGACCAAAAGCAATTTGGGGAGGAAAGGATTTATTTGGCTTATGCTCCCACCTCACTGTTCATCATCGAGTGAAGTCAGGACAGGAACTCAAGCAGGACAGGAACCTGGAGACAGGAGCCGATGCAGAGGCCAGGGAGGAGTGCTGCTTACTGGCTTGATCTCCATGGCTTGCTCTGCCCCAGGTGCTCTCCAGATTCAAAGCAATCCTGAACAGAATTCCAACTTAACTTTTCTGCAAAAAATTGACACGTTGGTCCTAAAATTCACGTGAAAATGCCAGAAATTTGGAATAGCTGAAACAAAATTTAAACTCAGAATTTCTCATGTCCAAGCTTACTACTAAGCTCCACAGACAATACAGTGCTGGCATGATGGTAGCCATGAAGAGCAACCACATACAGGATGGAGCCTGCACTCATCCTGATGGGTTTCTGTCAATGGGCCCAACCATCCAGTGCTGAGAAAGTCATCTTCAGCAGTGGTGCTAGAATAGCTGGGACCCGCATGCCAACGCCAGGCCCCTTCATACACAGACCCATGGTCAAGTGCAAGTATTAAAGGGACAGGATTTGGAGAGTGAAGAGGTGAATCTCCATGAAATAGGCTAAGCAATCCTTAGATATGATCCAAAACACGCAGGATGAAGAAAATTGCAATAAGTGGGTCTTCATTAAAGCCTGAACTCTTTATTCTATTGCCTGCTTTTATCTATTATCTATGTCTGTCTGTCTATCTATCTATCTATCTATCTATCTATCTATCTATCTATCTATCTATCTATCTATCTATCTATCTATCTATCACCTACCTATAATCTATGACCTGTTGATCTGTCATTTGTCTGTCATCTATGTATGTATCATCTATTTTTCTATACCTAGCATCTGCTTCTTCGTATCTAGGTATCTACTAGGTATCTATCCAGGCAGCTTCAAGGGCATCTCTAGTGACAAAGGGCAAGCAATTCCCAGTGTTGGGAAACTAGAGGCCTCATCCACTGTGGGTGGGAGGCCAGATGGCCCAGCTGATTTGTAGGTAGCCCGTGTCTCCTTGAGGTCATGACCCATGATTTTACTCCCAGGGAATGCCCCCAGAGAAACAAAAACTTGGCTACAAAAACCTTGTCCGTGAACACTAGCAAATGCCAGTCAAAAGGAACACACACCCATGCCTTTGGGCTAGAGACTGGATAGCTGAAATGCAGTGCCAGCGCTGTGTGCCTTGTCTTCCGGACACGTAGTCCAAGACGCGGTGGATGCTGGGACCCTCCCATAGAGCAAGCTGCATCTGGACTAGGTTCCCTCATGGCCTGCAGCACTGCCACACAGTCCCCAAGGCGTCTGTCCTTCCATGTTCTCTGCATGGGGCCTCTTTGCACCATTATTCTCACACTTGGGACCTTCAGTAAGTAGAATAAGGGTTACCCAGACACAAGCCTTGTGATGCTTTGAGGTTCATGAGGTAACAAAGAGGCTGCTCGAGGGACTGACTAGAGACGTTTGTATACAGTGTGGATTCATTGCTCAAAGGGCTGAGGAGTAGAGTGTGGGGACGCACCACGCTGCTGTGAATGGGGTGTGACGAGAGCATCTGAGTTTTTTATTTGTAGAATTTTCCATTTATTACTTTGAGGCTATGGTTGACCACAGGTAACTGAAGCTACAGAAAGCAAATCAAAGGAGTGTGATTCTGTACTAAAAAAAAAAAATCAATGAAGTGCCGATACACGGTACACCTCAGACACCTTAGAACCATGATGCTAAGAGAGAGAAGCCAGTCATGGAAGGCCACGGACAGGATGACACCATTTCTGTGAAATCCCACCCGGAGAAAACCTAGAGACAGAAAACAGATTAGCCATAGCCTAGGGCTGGGAGGGTTGGAGGAAGGGAGGGTGGACTGCTAATAGGTACAGGGTTTCTTTTGGGGACAATGAAAAAGTGGAAAATTGATTGTAGGGACTGTCACCAAGACTTGTGACAATACTGGGGACACATGGAGAACCATCGACTTTCCTTAGAACAGTGATCCTGGGCCATGTGAGTTACACTTCAAGCAAAGCATTGTTAAAGGGAAGAGACTGCAAAACCCTGGCACATAAAGCTTAACTGTGACCTGGAGCCAGGCTTGGTGGGAGCTGGAGCCAGAGCTGGTGCTGGAGCTCGCCCTCTCCAGGCCCAGGAGAAAGTCAAGGGCCACCATATTCCCACAGGCCCATGCAGATGTCTTAACTTCTTTTAGATGGGTAAAGTGCTTGAGACTCAACACATTCATCTTTATACTAATGAGGATGTGAAATACACATTTTTTTGAGACAGTGTGCTGGCTAGTTTGACGTCAA